AAAAGTCCCAAGAACTACGTAAGCAACCCTGCTGCTAGGGTGACGATTAGTTGCCCTGAAAAGGGTGAAGTGAAAGGCAAACTTGTGCTGCTGCCACAGAGTTACGAGGAGTTGCTTGAGATGGGGGCAAAGAAATTCGGATTCTTGCCAGCGAAAATCGTGAGCAAAGATGGAGCTGGAATCGACGATATAGATGTAATTAGAGACGGTGATCATCTTGTTTTTGTAAGTGCTGGTGAATCACAACAAGAACAAGAAGAACCTAACAGCTAAAATCCTCCAATTAATTAAGGAGGATTTGTAAATAAATTGTCGGTATTACCACGGACTAATCCAGATTAAGGTATGCTGGATTGAGAGATGTGGATGAAAAATGATGTCCAGAGTTAACCTCCTGCTGTCATCTGATATTTTTTCGTGTTTTTTTTCCTTTCAATATTATGACTTGCACGTCAAGTCACCGTGCAAGTTAAACGTCTGTAGCAGCAAAATGTAAATGATTTACAGCTTGAAAATGTAAAAATTGTAAAATAAAATCAGTCTTATTTCAAGCAACGCGCAGATTATTTTCTCGTTGTCAACTAAAAGAAATTAAATTGTAGTACAAGTACATGCAACTATAAATTAGGTTAGTGGCTTAGGTCAATACGTCATATATTCAGGGGCATGAGCCGCTCAAGAACCGAGCGCACGAGTGTTTTAAGTTTGAGGCTCGGCTTGTTTCCTTCACAGGCAGAGCTTCGCAACACAACTCAAATTAACAACTCACAACGCAGTCTACCAGACTCGCTCATGAAAATTGTAGCTTCATTCATTCTTCATTTAGTCTAGCCGGATGAGCCGCTTGATCATCCGTCTCTGCTTCACATCCGTCTTGTTACCGGTGACGTCGCTACTAGTATGCCGACTACAACGTTCGTCCTGTCAGTTGCGACGTCATTCCTCTCCGGACCCGGATTCTTTGCAGGCGTTATTTTCTTTCATGTACCAGATACGCATGGAGGGAGTTTTGCTCGAACCTCTCACTCGGCAGAAATTAGGGGAGATGACCTGGGGTGGGAACACAACCGGAAAAGCCCGCTTCACGGGAGATATATAAACACTCAAAGGACACAAGGCGAAGACTAGCTCAACTGGTACAATCGCGGAGCAAAGCAAAGATCACAAGAGTCATGAGAGTACAAAAGTACTAGACAAGTGGTCATCCCCCCAACATTTGTTGGATCATCAAACCAAGATTAGGGTTTACAATTTTGGTGAATTCTGGGGAAAATGAGAATTTTCTTTTCCCTCCACAGCCACAGGGTCCTTCAAGAAGTTACAAGTGCAAATACACATTGCGGATTTCATATCCTGAAATTTATTTCTCTCTCTACAACAACTTCAGCATTTTCAGACGTGCTTCATGTTCGGGATCTAGTTTCGGTGGGGTATAGCATCCATGAAGATCCTCCACTATATACTCCTGCAAAATTGTGAAACCATAAGCATTCCGGGACTTCTGAATGATGCAAATATCTAAAAAGAATTGCAAATTACGAGATGATACACACTCTCTTGGTTTGGCAAACTAATGCAAGTCCATGGCACATCCAGGAAATGATTAAATACAAGTATGCAGACATGCACAGGAGAAGAATGTTGAAGACTAACCTTTGTGAGCTCCCTCTTGGTCAGGATATGGTAATGTCGCTGCCAGATCCGCTGAATAGCCATGGTGGCGGCAAGGAAACCATAAGCTATGCCAAGGATGGCAAAGATGACAACAAAAACGATGACCAGGGCAAAGCAAGCCTCCATAGACGCTGGGAAACAATCCAAAATTCCCCAACCATAGCAACAGTTCTGGCAGCCAGCCATCCGTGGGTCATTGCTATTGAGCGATGAACAGTGTAGTATGAGCCCGAAAAATCCAAGCAGTACAAAAAAGCCTAGGACACCTGGTGTATACAAATGCACAGTGGCAAACACAGATTTAAAATACAAAGCAATAGATGTGAGAGATTTATAACAAGTGCAACATTTATTTGTCCTCATATTTCCTTCTCATTATAAACACTGGTACAAGTTTATCGTAATACCAAATGAGACGATAAGATCAGATTTATCCATATCAACATTCCTACTATTATGAGGAAGACAAGGCCAAAGTGGGGGAACGAGGGAGTCTATTTCATAAACTCAAGAGGGGGTGTGCCATACAGATTAGGGAGACATAGCACAAAGATCTATTACTAGAAATTACTTAATGTCTTTGGTGCACATCTTTCATTGAAATTTCATAGAAATGTCCAAAATATTACTTCCAACAGCAAGAAGGGGTTTTCTATTGCCTTCATTCTGTCAGAAACTCAAAATTCCCTCACATCTACCACTCTGACACAAACGATACCAAACATTAATTAGCAATGGTTACCACTCTGACACAAAATTCCCATGTTTGTTATTGGAGTGTTCAAGCATTTCCATGATGCAAGAGGGGAAAAACCCTGAACTACATAACTATTTTAGATAACAGTTTCAAGATGTAGGAATTTACCAATACAATAATAAAATGGTATAGGATGTTTTGACAAGATACGGTCCCAACCATCACTAAATGAATTCCTGAATGCACCATCTTTGTCCATGACAAATGCAAAGCCACCAATAGCAGCAATTATCTGGAAAATAATTAATTAGAGAATGGACGAGTATTTCATTGCCTTACAAGAAAAAACTGTATCAAAAGAATTCCAACCGAAACAGAAATGCTTCATTAATTAAAGAATGAAATTTTATCAAGGAACATAATCAAAAGGACAATTGCTTACTGATTGTACTGCTAAAAATACAAGGAAAACATCCCTTGCCACAAAAACTCTGAATTTTATCTTACGCCAGGTATTGTCCTCATATGTTTCAACTCGAAGGTGAAATTCGGCTTTGCAGGTTGTGCAGTGTGAGAAGGCAAATCCTTCCTAGAAAAGCAGATGAAAGATGGAGGAGATAACAAGTTCAGTAAATAATTAAGTAGCATGCGGTTCCCGCGCAATCTAAGAGAAAAGGTCACTAAAATTCACCATGATACACAATATCCTCACTCTAATAGAAAAAAGTTATTTACTTTAACAGAGCGCCAGTGATCGAGACAGGACCTATGAACAAACTGCTGGGTGCCTTTGCACATGCAAGGTGAAATCAATTCATCCTCTGTAGAGTTAAACAACACAAATCAGACCAACAGCAGCAGCAATGCGATCAAATTTAGCCCAATTTACGGGAACATGCGAAAATCAGAGTGTTATACTCATTTGAACTCCCAATTGAATCAAATTACTGCAATATATAAACATAGACTTAAAACTACAACAAGGTACAATCTTTCGAAGTTCCGAACTACGATTACAATAAATCACAACAATTTAACCCGCAAAACATAAAATCACTCCTCAGGAATCAGATGGCACTGAAAATCCAACACTGCTTAAACAAAAATTCAAATTAACAAACTTAATTTCATTCATCAAAAACCAATTGACCTGGTTCGGCATCGCTCTCGAGACAAATTCGACAGCAGGGAATAGAGCCAGACTCAAGGTCTTCATTGTTGATCTCACTCGAGCTTGCCGGCGACGAGTCAACCTGGTTCTGTAGCAGAGGGTCGATGTCAGTAGGGTCTCGGCCTCCCTCCCTTTCACCTGCTGGCCCCAGCTGCACTTCCCCCTTCATTGATCGGCCGCCCGAAACCCTAATCCAGCTCCCAATTGCCAACCAGAACAGATCAAAGGCCCTAAAATTTGTCAAAATTCAAGTGCAATTCGAGTTTATGAGTGAGAATTGGTTACTTTTACAGAAATTTATCGGGAATTCCGAAGGAAATTGATGAACAAATTACGGATTATTTGGGGATTTAATTAATACCTGGATTGTTTTGCAGAGAAATTTCTAGGCAAATTCGTGAAGGGGTGATTTTAAGATGACCATACGTCTATAGCTGTGTTGGAATTTCTGAGGTTTTCTATACAACGCGCGGTGCGTACTGCGCACGCCGCAATGGCTTGACCCGTTGACTGGGTAATCCTTGAGTTAGCTTGGGCGCTGTTTATATGGGCCTCATGGATTTATCATCTGGGCCTTGTTGCTGAAGTATAATGGGCCACTTGACCCAATTCAGTTTTCTGTCTCTGAATTTTCTACTACTATGAAAGGTGGAGTAATTTTGTAGAGCAGAAGTTTGTTTTACCAAAGAAGCTTTGTTGCTTGGGATACAAGTAAGAGGCCTTATATTCGATTCCACGCTCAAGGTTTTATATTTGATACAACGCTCCTCAAATATTTTAGCAATTGATATATCACTTTGCATTCGAATTTTGAATTTGGTTTCTAACCCTTACGAACTTTTATCATGCTAATATGCCCATAACCGTCAATTTTATCACAAAGTTTCTCCATTAATTTCTTAACCCCCCCCCCCTTCCCCTTCCAGACTCTTGCAAAGCGGGGAGCCCTTGGGGTCGCCTTTTTACTGCTTAATCAATTGTGTCTAATGTTGAACAAGTGAACGTATGCTTCTTTGCAATGAATTCATCTTGCACATTGTAATGCTTAGCATGGAAGGGGAACACAAGCATTTCATTAACTTTCGTCGTATGACAAACTAGTACTCAATTCACATGAATGACGATTACGATTTATCGTAACAAACAAAGAAATCGAAAGCAATACGAAATACAGAAAACTGTACACAAAATAGAATGCAGAAAAAAGCCAACAGGCATTCCATGACTTGATGTTCTTCTTCATTACACTAATTCCAAGTTGTACGATTGAATTCGACAAACAAAACCAACGAATTTCGCAGAGATTTTAGTAACATGGTAACTAGCTACAAATGCAAAATCCCATAATTTTTGATATGATCTTTACCGCCGAAAATCGAATCAAATCTACCTACTTCGATTGATCATCACATAACATCTTTATCCAGAAACAGAGCATACACCTTTATTTCTTGCATGTCAGAACTGACCATCTTCTTTCTTTTCTTTCCCATTGCCTTCACCATCTTCTTGCTTTTCTTTCCCCTTGCCTTTCTCATCGATCTTTCCTTTTCCCGGCTCCACATTGTCGGCTGCGCTTTCACTCGACGATGAAGAGGGTTTTGTTGCGGCGGCGGTACTAGGAAGAGCATTGTTCATGTATAAGAAATCGAGCAACATTGGATCCCCAATCCTCAGCTCCTTAAGCAGTGCCTGTACAAGTTCAGTGTTATCGATCAACGATGGAACGTAATCATCACGATTTGGTATTTCCTCTTGTTTCCATAGATTCAACATTTTCCCATAAATTGGGGGAAGTTCTCGCACGGAATATGAGATTTTCCCAGAAATTGGTGCTTCGGTCGATGACATTGCCGCAGACGTTGCCTCGCCAGAATCGGTGCTGTCCTCAGAAGCTGGAGCTGCTTTGCCGGAATCGGAGATATTCCCAGAAATAGGTCCTTCAACTTCATTGGAACCGGTCACTGACATTAGGTCTTCATTGGAATCAGTGTTGTCCTCAGAAGTTGGTGCTTCTTCGCTAGACCCGGAGGTCTCCTCAGAAGTTGGCGCTTCTTCGCCGGAATCGGGTTTTTCCTCAGAATCTTGTGCTGCTTCACCGGAATCGAGATTTTCCTCAGAATTTGGTGCTTCTTGTTGGTAGGAATCGGAGTTTTCCCCAGAAACTGGTGCTTCTTGTTCGCCTGAATGAGAGACTTGCCCAGCAATTGGAGCTTCTTGTTCACTGGAATCCGACATTTTCCCACAAAATTTTCTCTCTCAAAACTCGATCAACTGAAATGGTTGACTACGCAATGCAAGAAGCATTAAGCTCACAGAGACTTCTTTGTGTCTTTCACCACCATCTTCGTTTACTTCTTCGTGTTTTCCGCTTCAAGAACGACGGTGAATCATGGGTTCTCTCTCTCAATTCTTGATCTTTCTCCTCTCTCTCTCTCTTAATTTCTTGAACGATTTGATGATTGAATGCGTATGTGGTTTCAGTCAGCACTACTCCGTTGTGAGATATAAGGGAGGGAGGTGAAGAGTGAAGGGTAAATTGGTAAATATGAAGATGAGTCCCGAACTGAAAATTGGCGGGAGAAATAACAGATCATTACAAACTCTTACGGCTCGGTTTTATGTTAGCTTCTTTCTTGTCTGATGGAGTACCTCTCTCTGTTTTGGGCTAAATATTTTGGGCCCCTTTCCTTTATTTGGTCGTCTTGATAACTCAAATATCATTCACTACAATTGAATTTTCGTTAATCACGTGGATAAATCATGGTTAACCGTTGAAATGATGTGACAAACTAGTACTCGATTCACACGATTGACGATGCTGATTTATCGTAACAAAGAAAGCAAGTCGGAAGCTTTACGAAATACACAAAACTGAACACAAAATAGAATGCAAGAAAAAAAAAACCCAACAGGCAATCCATTACTTGATGTTCTTCTTCATTACACTAATTCCAGGTTCTACGATTGAATTCAACAAACAAAATCAACGAAATTCGAAGAGATTTTAGTAACATGGTAACTAGATAAAAATCTAAAATCTCACAAGTTTCGATAGATTTTTACCGCCGAAATTCGATTTGAATCTGCCTACTCCAATTGATCATCACATAACATTTTCTTTATTCAGAAACAGCGCATGATTGACTGACTGTCTTTATTGTCTTGATGAATATCAGAGCTGACCATCTTCTTGCTTTTCTTTCCCCTTACCTTTCTCGTCGATCTTTCCTTTTCCCAGCTCCACATTCTCAGCTGCGCTTTCACTCGACGATGAAGAGGGTTTTGTCGCAGCGACGGTAGGAGGAAGAGCAGGGTTCTCGTTAGAGTAATCGAGCAAAGGTGGATCTCCAATCATCAGCTCCTCAACGAGTTCCTGTACAAATTCAGTGTTATCGATCAACCATGGAACATAATCATCACAATTTGGTATTTCCTCTTGTTTCCATGGATCCGACATTTTCGGAGAAATTGGCCGATATTCTTGCTCGGAATCGGAGATTTTCCCAGAAATTGGTGCTTCGGTCATTGACATTTCCCCAGAAATTGGTGCTGCTTCGCCGGAATTGAGATTTTCCTCAGAATTCGGTGCTTCTTGTTTGGTAGAATCGGAGTTTTCCCCAGAACTTGGTGCTTCTTCTCCGGAATATGGCACTTGCGCAGAACTCGGTGCTTCTTGTTCGCCTGAATCGGAGATTTGCCCAGCAATTGGTGCTTCTTGTTCACCGGAACCCGACATTTTCCCAGAAAATTTTCTTTCTCAAAACTCGATCGACTGAAATGGTTGATTACGCAATGCAAGAAGCATTAAGCTCACAGAGACTTCTGTCTTTTACCACCATCTTCGTCTACTTCTTCGCTCTCTCTCTCTCTCTCTCTCTCTCTTAATTTCTTGAAAGATATGACGATTGAATGTGTATGTGGTTTCAGTAAGCACTTTTCCGTTGTAAGATATAAGGGAGGGAGATGAAGAGTGAAGGGTAAATTGGTAAATATGAAGATGAGTCCCGAACTGAAAGTTGGCGGGAGAAATAACGGATTATAACAAACTCTTAACGGCTCGGCTTTAACTTGGTTTCTTTCTTTGCGTCTGATGACGTAGCTCTCTATGTGTTCGGCTAAATATTTTGGGCCTCATTTTATTGCATCTTGATAATCCCAAAGTCTCGATAATTAGCTCTCAAGCTTCCGATAAACACTGTAAATTAAATTGAACATGTTTCTCATCTTTTCTCGAATTAGGGATAGCCTTCATTATCGAGAAGTAAATAGTCTAGAACTAAGACCCCTACTTGACCGCTCAATTAAAAAAAAAAAAAAAGTACAGGTGCAGTGAGTATCAAGTTTTGTTGAAAATGCTACAACCAATGAAGGTAGATTTTCACACAAAAAGGTCTCGTTGCCACTAATAGTCGATCAATCAGTATAAGTTGTAATAATTTGGTAGAGTATATGATGTGGAACTTTATATTTTTCAACTGACTTACGAAGAGAGTAACCTATCGAGGTCTTATATTTGATTCAACCCTCCTTAAATAGCTCGTATCAAAAAGGAAATACTGGACACAAGAAGGGTGCAAAGATCTTAACTCACAAGCAATCCTAGCTATGAACACATTGAACAGGGAATTGAAGGGCACCCTTGAGTTTAGTAATGCCCCTAAAACTAAAAAGTGTTGGGGGAAGAGTTTTAACAATGCCCTATGAACTTTGGATTTTATAATACTTTGTCTTCCGAACTTTCAATTTATTTTGAGCTCTCTAAATTTTAAATTTATGCCAATATGCTCTCAACCGTCAATTCAATCACAATTTTCTACTATTTCCATCATTTTCATTGCACTTGGCCAAATTTTGAGAGGTGTATGCGACGCGTCAACAAAATGATACAATCGCAAAGAAACTTGGTAAATGCTTGGAATTCTTATCGTAATATATTCATTTCCAATACATTTTGGGGATGTGCAACCAATTCATCGCTGCACATTGTCATGCTTAGCAGGGTGGGGTAACACAAGCATTTCATAAACTTCGGCCGAAATGATACGAAGAACTAGTACTCGATTCACATGAATGACAATGATGATTTAATCATAACAAACATAGAAAGTCGAAAGCGAAACGAATTGAATTTTTTTCGGAGATTAGAAGCCGCATTGATCAAACAAGGAAACTGGTCGAAATCTGAGAAACGAAATTACAATTTCCGATAGACATTGCCACTGAAATTCAAATCTACTTGATGTGCTTCATCATACTAACATTTGCAGATATTTCAACCCGCATCAAACATAGAATCTAGTTACGAAAAACCCTAAAAACTGAACAATATTTCGATAGACTTTCACCGCCGGAACTCAAATCTACCTACTCCTATTGATCAGCACGTAACATTTGATTGATTGACTGTAAGAATTGTATTGCTGAATATCGATACTTTTTTTCTTCTATATCAGAATTAGTAATCTTCTGGACGAAGTTCGGTCGGTTCCGTAATTTGCAATAAGCCTCTAACGCTCCTCTTCTTCTGCTTCCTCCCTTTCCGTTTCTTTCGTTTCGGCTTCCGAACTGCAGCTTCTTCTTTCACTTCTTCTTCTTCTTCTTCTGCTTCTTCTCCTCCTCCTCCATCTTCTTGTTTTTCTTCCACTTCTTTCCCCTTGCCCTTCTCATCGATCTTTCTCTTCCCCGGCTCCACATTCTCAGCGGCGCTTTCACTCGGTTCCACTTCTTTCCCCTTGCCCTTCTCATCGATCTTTCTTTTCCCCGGCTCCACATTCTCAGCGGCGATTTCACTCGGTTCCACTTCTTTCCCCTTGCCCTTCTCATCGATCTTCCTTTTCCACGGCTCCACATTCTCAGCGGCACTTTCACTCGGCTCCACTTCTTTCCCCTTGCCCTTCTCATCGATCTTTCTTTTCCCCGGCTCCACATTCTCACCGGCGCTTTCACTCGGCTGCGAATCGGGTTCTGTCACGGCGGTGGCAGGAGGAAGCGCAGCGCTCTCGTTAGAGGGAGCGAGCAAAGAAGGATCCCCAATCGCCATATCTTTGAGCTCTGCCTGTTGAACTTGAGTGTTATCAATCAACTCAGGAACATAATCATCGTACTTTCCTTCAACGGAATCAGAAACTTGCCCAGAAGGAGGAAGCGCAGCGTTCTCGTTAGAGGGAGCGAGCAAAGAAGGATCCCCAATCGCCATATCTTTAAGCTCTGCCTGTTGAACTTGAGTGTTATCAATCAACTCAGGAACATAATCATCATACTTTCCTTCAACGGAATCGGAAACTTGCCCAGAAGCTGATGCTTTTCCTTTCCAGGAATCCGACATTTTTCCCAGAAAATTTTCTTTCCCAAAACTCGATCGACTGAAATGGTTGATTACGCAATGCAAGCAGCATTAATCTCGCAGAGACTTCTCTCCGTCTTTCACCACCATCTTCTTCGTATTTTCGGCTTCAAGAACGATGAAGAATTCTGGGTTCCCTCTCAATTCTTGATCTTTCTTCTCTCTCTAACTCTATTTTCTCTCTCTTAATTTCTTGAAAGATTTGGTGACGGAATGTGTCTCTGTGTTTTCAGTCGACGCACTTCTCTGCAGTGAGAGATATATAAGGAAGGAGGTGCTGAGCGAAGGGTAAATTGGTAAATATAAAGATGGCTCTGAACTGAAAGTTGGCGGGAGAGGTAACGGATCATAACGAATTCAACTTCTTTCGTTGCAACTGAAAATTAGGACTCCATAGTGAAAGAAAAAGTACGGGTGCAGTAAATAAAGTTTAATTGAAAATGCTAGAGCTTATGTATGTAGATTTTTTGGGTGAAGTTCATATAGTTACTTAAAAGGCGAATTCAAATCGGTCTTAATTTTTCAAAACATTCGAAATAACTGCATGATATTTTGAAAATTGAACATTTGTTTGATCGTTAGTTTTAAGTGATGTTGTGAATTAGTATCGAAGGCGTTTTCCACTCTCACGTTATCTGTTGAGCTTCCAAATCGACACTTTTAACCAAGAAAATTCAGAATTAACTTTGTTTAAAAATATCAATTTGAGAATTTAAAGCCCCATAAATGACGAATTAGTGCACATCAACTTCGATATTTGTTTACATCAACATTTTTTTTAACAAACGATATTATCTACACTAAGGGAAAGGGGGTGGGTTAAGCCTCATAATGAGCTAACAATAATGTGGTTCAAATTCGTCTTTGGCGAAAAAAGATCCTAAGACATCTCACTTACAATAGAAGAGTAATACCACTAGACCATAATATTAAGTGGCTTGTTTACATCAACAGTTAACACTAGCGACTTCATCACTCAAAGCTTGTGACCTAGGAATGTCCAATTTTAAAATACTAGGTAATTATTTATAACGTTTTAAATGATTGAGACCATAACCTGAAATTAAACTGAAAAGGAAAGTAGTCCCTAATTTTTTTTATACAAAAGGTCTTGATACATGACCAAATAACATTCGATAAGTATATGTTTATCCCCATTATTATTGTTGGAATAAGAAAAAAAAAATCTCTTCCGCACATTATTTTTATAAGTGAGCAGTTGAGATTTGAATAATTGAGATTTCGTCATAGACCATTACTCATATGAAAAATAAGTGATTTAGAAATGTGGGTACAAAGTCCAAAGTCTAAACATGAAATAGATTGGCAAGCAAATACATTACATCGTTGGGCCAAATGAAAATCCCAAAATCTCCTTCACAAGTTCTCATTCGTTTCCTCTTGCAACGGTGCCCCTGGATCGTGCAACGGCGCTCTATGATCGTGACTGAACCGATTCAGAGGCATTAGAACGACGATGATCCTATTGTCGATTAGAGCGTTGAATGAAGTTCGACAAGTTATGGAGTTCAATTGTAGACCTAAAGCAAGCACAAGCGTAGGCGGAAAAGAAGATTAAATTGGAATGGATAATTAATTATTCTCAAACTCAAGGTAGAGGAGAATTATTTCTATTTTAAAGGAATTAAAAGATGATTATACATGAAGAAAACGTCTCTCTTCTCATACTCCCAATTTAAAAGAATTGAAATTGATAAGTTTCTTCTTGATGTAATCCATCTCTTGCCACAATTCCTTTCATTTTTTCTTTACAAAGGTTCGGGAGACCCTTCTCAAATTAACAGATTGTCTATTTGTATATGTTATCAAATTTGATTTTGTATATATTTATTCTCTATACACGACCGTTAGACCATCTCCAACCGAAGGGTCCAGAGGGTCAGATGGTCGAAAATAGCCCTAAAACCGTCTCCAACCGAGGGCTAGGCCAGAGGGCTCTGGAATCTGGGAGGGCCCCACGGGATCGGAGAGGGCTGGAGGGCTGGCTATTTTTTTTTTAATGTTTCCTATTGCTGTCGGTTAAACCGACAGCATTAAAGAGGTTTTTTTTTAATAGTTCTACTATTAGTGTTGGTTATAACCGACACTAATAGTTTGAAATGTTTTTTAATGTAACGGCTAGCTGAGTCAGCTAGCCGTTGGTTTTTTTTTTTTTTTTTTTTTTATTTATTTTAAACATTTTTTTCTTCTATAAATATGGTGAAGTTCTTTCAATTCTTCACTTCATTTGCAATATTTCCTTCTTCAATATTTTTCAATATTTCCTTCAATATATTTCTCAATATTTCCTTCAATATATTTTCTAATATTTCCTTCATCTATAATATTTGTTTCAATTTTTCAATATTTCCTTCAATATATTTTCCAATATTTCCTTCATCTATAATATTTGTTTCAATTTTTCAATATTTCCTTCATCTATAATATTTCTTCATTTCATTTGCAATATTTCCTTCATTTTTTTTAATTTAAGTTAATGATGTTTTTAAGTTAATGTTGTTTTTAAAATTTTTAAATTTAAGTTAATGTTGTTTTTAAATTTAATTTGTAGTGTTTAAATATAAGTTGTTGTTTTTAAATTTAAGTTGTTGTAGTTTTTAAATTTAAATAATAAATTATGTTTGGCCCTATGGCCCTTTGGCCCTCGGTTGGAGACGGTTTTTTGTGACAGGGCTAAAACGAGCCATTTGGCCATCTGGCCCTCGGTTGGAGACAGAGGCAAATATGGCCCTGTACTGTTCATTAAAATATTAATATCTTGGGGAATCTTGGAGGGCCAGAGGGCTCAAACGAGCCATCTGGCCCGCCTTCGGTTGGAGATGGCCTTACAGACTGGACGTTTAATGAAATAAAAGATGACAAAAATTTTACAAATACGCAAATTTTGAGTTGTTGTATGTTTCTAGGGCTCATAAGATATAGAAATGGGAATATGGATGCTAAATATGGTAATAGTTGTGGTTATTTCTTGAAATAAATTTTTTATATTAGTGAAACTTACTACTCTGCATGAAGATGCATTTTTATGGCACCTCAATTCTTGAATAGGGAAATCAACTTGGCAAACCTAAGGATTTTGTGTGATTAGATGATTTTGTTTTGGTTTGTCTTAATAACAGTAATGCTTATTCATTTAAATTCAATTGTTTATAAAATTACTCCTTATAATTGAGTTAGAGCAACTCCACCGAGACCATTAGCCAGATGGACCGTCGATTTCCCCATCCCAATAGTCCTAGCTGCAAGCTCTAGTCCATGCGGGCGTGTGGGCTGAGCGGGGGGTGAGTGAGAGGCCCGACTCGAATTGGTGGCCCGAGAGTCTGAGGGTTGTGTGATGTGTGGGTGACATCAGGGTGACCCGACTCGAATTCGTCCGTTTTCTTTTGTCAGAATCTGGAAAAAGAATGGGATGCATGTAGGGAATCAAGCCCTCGAATTAAACCACAAGAATTGCAACACAACATGATTTAAAACTCAAGAACACAAGATAGTGATAGAAACATACTTGGGTTCGAGATTGAGAGTTCAAGCTCTCGACTTCAAAGGTAGGACCTCGCACCATGCACCAATCCTGCATGCAAGGCCATGGTTGGGTTCCTTGAGTTCCAGGGATTCCAAAAATATTATTTTTGAGCTTGATTCGTTGAAGGTTTGAAGAGGAAGAGAGCTCATGAGAGTGAGCTGGAAAAGAGGGAGAAAGAAAGAAAAAGGAAGAGAGAGATGGAAAGAAAAGAGAGAGAGGGGGGGAGAGAGAGGAAGAACCGGTCAAATGAGGGGAGAAAGGGAAATGGTGATGGGGATGTCTGATGGATTGGGTGAGAAAAAATATTAATATTTTATTACCTATTACCATGATTATTCAATTTAGGAGTGAAGATGTAAAAGTTAATTACTGTTCATTAAATGCATTTACTGTTATTAGGTGGATTCAATAGTGAGTTGCCATAGAAGACCTTTACAACGCTAGAATTGCTCTTACAAACACCACAAACTGCCGATGATCAGCTCCAAATTCAGGGCCAGTCCTGAGTTTTTTGGTACCCAGTGTGAAAGCTCAAAATGTGCCTTTTTTTTATACAGAAACATATGTTTAAACAAAAATATTTAACGAGGGTAATCACATTGCTATCAACCTTCATTAACTCTCTAATTTGTTTTGGTGTAGCAGTTGCAAGAAAAAAAACCAATCACATAACACATTAAACACACATCCAATACATCCCAATCCAATTATATATTCATCAAATCATATAAAATAGAGGTATTCATCAATTTACGCCTTAACTTGTAAGGATTGGCTAGAAAAACGTTTTCGAAATCTTCACTGGTATCCATCTGCAAATCCACAAACACAAGTAATTAATGTTTCATATCAATCACATTAAGCGCAAAGGTCCCAAACTGGTAGATTAACCCCCTTTTCTGTAAAGCTCAGAACCCCACAAACCTTTACTTTGGATTAAGTAAATTTAGTTTCATGCACTCATACAGAACAATTCAGACATAGACAATATATTAGCATTGAAATCGATATGGTCATTATTTCTAAATTCCAACTGAATGCTTCAACCCCATCATGTGAAACTCAATCACAAGAACTCATAATATGATGGAAAAAAAATATAGAAGACTCACCAAAGCAGCAAGCTCTGTTGCCAAGCATTTCCTAGCTCTCTCAACATATTCACGTGCTTCATCATACTGTGCCCGGGAACAAAAGAAAACAATAGAATAGGTCAAATACAATTATAAACCAAAGAACGTTACCGTTTGGTACACAGACAGTACGGGACGGGACGGGACGGGACGGAACATGATGGGACGGGACATGACGGAACAGATTATGTAAATATTAAAAAGATAAGGAGAAATTTTGTCATAAAATGTTATAAATTTGTGTTCCACGGATGTAAAACGAGTCGTTCCAAAGAGAAGAGGTGGAACGAAAAATCAGCCAAATTTTATCCTATGAGACAACCTATTCCACAGTTTTTAGGCGCACAAAACGTGGGACGGAACGACTCGTCCCATTATGTCCCGTCTTGTCCCACGTACCAAACGGTACCAAAGTGTTCAGGCAGTCTTACTGGTTGCCACTTATTATATCCTTTAGCTACAACGAGAACTTCAAAAAATTTCTCTTCTACAATTAATATAATATTATTATATATATATATAATATATATATATATATGTATATGTATGTATTATGTACACAGATAATATAAAAACTAAGAAGCAGACTTGATTGTATAACAAAATGTGAACTTTAAAATTCTCAATAATCACTTTCCACTATGAACAAAGAGGCATTCTGTCTCATTCAAATTAGTGGTCTTTTAAACGCAAATACAGTGTATTAATGATTAACGGAACAATAAAGTGTACCTTTCCTCTTCGAACTAACAGAACAGCTCTAAAGAATGTTCCATTACTGCTTCCATCCCCACTAGCAGCAGTGTTCGGAACTTTCTCCTGGAAAATTGAAATTTTCCACGGAAAAATTAAGAAAACAAAAAAGTAAAACCCATACACAAAATCAAAGCTCTACAGAGAGCAAGATCGAACATGGAACCTGGAAATGCAAAGCTTTGAGTTCCACTCCGTGGGGAAGAGAAAACAGAGCCTACGGGAGAGGATGAGGAGGAAGGTTGCCAGAGAACTAAGAGAAACAAGGCAGTGGCAGAGAAGATGGAAAGAAAGATAGAATTTTAGAGGGCGTTTATTGCACCGGACTGTCTTGGACTGGACTAGCTGCAAGGACTAGGCTGAACTGGCTTGGACTAGATTAAGCTGAACTATCTTAGTGAAACGTTTGATAGTGTCAGACTAACAAACTAAATAATATTTTTCTTTTCTTTTCTTTTTTCCTTTTTCTTTTTCTTTTTCTTTTTCTTTTTCCTTTTCCTTTTTCTCGAACACTCTTCCCTCTCCTTTCTCTTAATTTTTCAGAACTCTATCTCCTGAACACTCTCTCCCTCTATTGAAAATAGGTTAGTTTTTCAGAAATCTCTCTCTTTGGGATTTGCAATTTGCAATTCGAATCTGGGTTTCATGATTCGAAAGTTGATTTTGCACTTCCACCGAATCTGGGTTTTTTTTTATTCCATCAAATTTGTGTAAATGTGTGGAAAACTGAGATGAAGCTGTGGTTGCAGATAGAAGTGGGCATCGACCATGGTTGTTCGCATGCCAAGTTTTCTGTCTATGTCTATCGGCGAGGGCCCAGGCGTACTCGGAGGTGAACGGACGACGACAAGAGCAGAGAAAGCAGAGAGGAGAGAGAGAGCACAACTTGATTCTAGGGTCTTCGAGATTCAAAACGAGCAAACGAAGAGATGGATATTTTGGGTTTTGAGTTGGTGGGTGTAGGCGATGTTGGCAAAGCAAGCAGACGAGGTCTTAGCAATCCAATGGTTTTTTAGGGATCTCGCTAAGACCTCCTAATGAAGGAGATAGTCCACGCGAGTCCCGGTTTATCCCATTAAACTTAGTCCGTGTAAGTAACAAACACGGGACTACACTAGTGTGTAGTCCAGTCCAGTCTAGTGAAGGTTAACAAGCCCAAATAAACGCCCCCTTAAGGTTTGTTTTATGATTTAGATGTGTAAATATTAAAAAAGATGAGGGGTATTTTTGTCTTAAATTTTTATAATTGTGTGTTTCCAGGGGTGAGGTGGAACGGAAAAACCTGGGCCGTTCTATGTTATTTTGGGCTCTTGGATAATTTTTTAATTTTTTTTTATACCTATTACCTAATTAGTTGGATGTTTTAGGTGCGCCTTTCAATTTTGGGCCTTAGACAGTGGCCCTGGTAGCACTGGGCCTGCGCTGTCCAAATTCCACCAGATACAAACCAAATGTAATGTGTGAACGTGTTGACTACGCTGGGATATTACATTATGATCTGGTCCCCAGATTTGATGTTTTTAAGTCATTTGATCACTACTAGTCTCTGGCTTATTTGACTCATTTGAAGTTTTACTGTGCTTGCCCGACCCCATGCATACGGGCCATTAGTTTCCACGTACCTAAATTCCATACAAGTCAAGCATCCACACACACGTCCAGTCCACCGTGCAGCTGACACAGACACCTACCACACGTTTCATGCGGATAATTTTCAAAGTGCTGGGATTCATAATTGCACTGAGGCTACATAACATCATATGCATGATGACGGTGGTGAAAAAATCTGCTGCGGGCGCCGGCACTGCTAATTGTTATAAGGGTTACGTGGTTAAGGAATTGGATCATCTCCGGATTTATCAAAATTAAATTCACTAATCAATGAATTTAAATCGTTAAGATTTGATCAAACGAGTACAATTATTATAACTTTTAGAATGACTCTCTGTTTGTAACTGTTAAATCAAATTTTAACGATCTGAATTCATTGATTAATGAATTCAATTTTAAAGAATTCGGAAGGAATTTGGTTCCATAGTCAAAACCATTTGAACCACTCAATGATTATATTGTTGAAGTTTTTGATAATATTAATATTGATGTAGATAGATGACAGGGTAAACCAAAGATCGATACGCGCAAATCTAGTGTCCAAACTCTTGTGCGAAACTAGTAAAACACGTACATGAAGAATTTCGACAAGAAAAATACATCCAGAAGAATTTCGACAAGAAAAATACGTCCAGAAGGATCGGAGAAAAATATACTCTAATGATATCAACCAATTTAATTAATTAACCAAAATAATCGAACTATATTAGTTAATAGATGTTAACGTTATGCTAAAATTATTGAATTCACACCACCAAACATAGACAAGTCGACAAGATATGGTAGCTTCCAAAGAGCAGCAAGCAGCAGGAAAGTTCCTGGGTAATGAAAAGTATTACATATATAACGAAGAATAAAATAGAAAATGACATATTTTTGTACACACCGTTTAACAAAATAATCAAATTTCCATTTGTTTAAATCTACAATTTACGGATGACCAAACAAAATTCAAAAGGTTTTAGATTCTCCCTGTATCAAAATTTCCATTTGTTTAAATCTACAATTTTTTTACCTTTCATACTCTTCATAATTTTTGACCGTCGAATCGAATAAGTGTTGGAAATTTGAGTAGTGTGAGTAGAAATTTTTTTGTCCTACATTGGTCATTCCCAAAAGATTTTATCACTTTATAAGGTTTTATCCCTTATAGAAAGTTATTGGAGTAATAGGTGAAGACTAAAATTCGGCTCACCCTTGGGGTTGGGCTTTGAGGTGTACTAATTAATTGGTAATTAATATATATTTAATTGTCAAAAGATGGGCCTTGGGCATTGGGGCTCTAATAATTAAATTAATTATTTATTTTTGGAATTAATTAATTATTTTTAATTTCGAATTTAAATTAATTAATTATTTTTCATTTTTTTCAGATGAAGTCTGAAGTGTGAAAACACAGAAACAAAAACACCATTTTCAGTAGATGTCTCCCAACAGATGCATCATTTCCTTATACTTGTTGCGAACATGTATAATCACATTATATATACATCTATCTGCATAACATTTATAACACAGAAAAAATCATAAATCTTCTCATGCAATCATAAACATCCTTGTTGAGAGAACCACATGAATATTCGTCAGAAGTCAATTTCCAGTTCTGGAATTTCTGACTTAGATCTTTGAATCCTAGTGAAGCAGACGTCCGTAGAACTACAAGCACTGAGTAGGGGCGAAATTTATGTTTCAAAGACATTGCGGTACATAAGCCTCGATATTTTGTTACTATGCTTAATTAATATTTCATCTTGTTGAGTCTTTGGAATATATTTATTCGTATTTATTATTAGCATATTTATTTTATTGCGGATTGTTGACATATATCAAACAATAAGTTGAAGAAAATCAAAGGATTTAAAAAAAACTTTAACGAAAAGCTCCCGGTACTGTTCACTTTAACGAAAAACCGCATATTTACACTAAAAAGTCAATTTATTACTATTCACTTTACCCTTTATTTAGTCCTTGTCATTAAAACTCAAAGTTTTCAAACAATTTTCATTAGTTTTCCTTATAAATTAATAGAAGATACGTGAAAAAGTAAAAAAAAATATGTGAAAACACTGCCCAATCAAAATATAAATACGATAACGCATGAAGTTTCTCCGCCATCAGCTTGCACGTTCCACTCCTGCAGAAGAATATGATTGAAAATTCAAACCCATGCTCCATCATTTCTGCATCTTCCATATCATACCCTACATAGAAAAACAAAAACAAGAACATTAAAAAATAGAAACACAAATCTTACATCCTCCATATGGAGAAAATATACACAGCTTCTGTCCAGCTATATATGGAGTTATATATTATATATATATATATATATATATGTATATGTATCATGTATGTATAATATCCCCTTTAAAGAGAAATTAGCTAAAACAATCAGAAATAATATCCTAATAGTTGAGATGATTAAAATTAATATCTGCGACATATCGATTAAAAACTTATAATAACTATAAGATATCGACATGATGCTGAATGAAAATGATCATCTTAGTAATTGAGATTTAAAAAATGATCAGTAAGAAATTCGTGAGGTGCTGCTGCATCTTATTCCCTCTCCCCCCTAAAAAAAAAAAAGGGAGAGATATATGCCCTGTCCCTTCTTTATGCACATTCATATACATAGCCAGAAATAAAGGTGTACAATGCGGTCAAAATCTGCAGTTCTTTAAGTGCATTCACCGTAGGTATTTGGCCAATCTCCCTTTTTTTTTCCTAATAGGGAGATGTATTAGAGCATTCAAACCCAGACGAAGGGGATCGAATTCAAGTGCAAGAGGTTGATACTCTACCCTGATTAACTTGCCTAATCCACATTTGCATAGGGATGGAGCCATATATAATCAAATACATACAATTAAGCAAAGCAACGAATTCCTTTACCCTAAATTAAATGTTGTCCCAGATAGCAAATTAAGAGGAATAGTTAAGATGTTCTAGCTATCAAAACAAAACAAAATATAAAGAGGAATTGAGGTGAAGAGAAATGGATGGACTAACTGTTGAAACTCAATGTTAATGGATCTAGCCGTCGAATTAGCAACAGATCCAAAGGCTGTTTGGGACAAGACCATGGTGGTGCCCGAAACCGATGCTTTGTTAATAGTTCCGGCATAGTCCACAATCTTCACTTGAATCGTTTTGTCCGGAACACACGTCCCCGTTTCTTCCGCACTTATGCATCTCACCAAGTACTGCCTCCCACACGACGCTCCATTGTCCCATATTCCGTCACCGGCCGCTGCGAATAGATTACTCGAGGGAAACTGCGACGAATCGCCTCCAAAACATTGCGTCGCTATATAAAACACATGTATTTACAGTCAGGTGTCAGAACATATGTATTCACAAAGTCGTTTACACGTGTATGCGTGCGAGTTTGTACTTACGTAAATACGGAGGAGGGTACTGGGCAGCAGTGCCGACGTCGGCGTTTGATGTGTCGAAAAGCTGTAGGAGGAAGAGGAGATTGAGCAGGACTGGAAGCCATTGCCGTGGATTGTGAGTTCTGGACATTTTTTGGAGAAACCAAAGTCTGGAATCTGGGGGATAAGCTCCTAGAGACGTGAATTAGATGGATGGAAAAGAATTTATTGTACATTATTCAAAGTCAACTTGCTGATCTAACTTTTTTTTTTAAATTAAAAATTTTAAAAATTGAGAAACACTCAAAAAGACGGCTAGGGGACAAATACATGAATTATCTATATGTCTTAAAGGTGTTACATACGACATAGCCAACTCACCACGCGTCTTTAGCCGCACGGTAGGTGTTTCTCAATTTTATTTTACACGTTATATCTTCTCGAATTCATTTTTGTTGGCCACCTTAATTTAGCGGACGATATATTAAAAGAGTAAACTGTTAATTTGCCCCTTGAACAATCACCTAATTTTCGATTTCCCCCTGAACTTTTTAATTGAAAAATTAAGGACTTAAACTAATTTTTTTGGCCGATTTCCCCTCTACCGTTAGTTTTTAATAGATTTCATCCAAATTAACGTTAACTCTTATCATGTGCAAACCACGTAACTCTCATTTGTGAACAAAAACGTTACTTCACTACACATTCAGACACAAAAGTTATAGAATCGCACATATTTGCATAGGTTTATATTATAGAAATCTAAGGTTTTCAATTATTTTAAAGAATGAAGCAACCGAACTACCCACACATGTTGTGCACTTGTTTCCATTTAACAGAAATTTGGGTGGAATGAATGAAAAATTAACAGCAGGGGGCAAATTGGCCAAAAAAATTAGTTTAAGTCCTTAATTTTCCAATTAAAAAGTTCAGGGGGAAATCGAAAGTTGGGTGATAGTTCAGGGGGCAAATCGGCAGTTTACTCTATATTAAAACTGCACTTTACGTCATCTTATACAAGTTAATCATTGATAAGTACATTTTTCAGGTTTTTTTTCATTGAATCAGTAGCTGATGTAAAGAAGAGATAGCCAGGTACGACCTATATATAAATATGGTGGTGGATTGTCTACCCTCTCATTTCCATACTTTTTTCATCTCCTCCTGTTTTGCATGGTCACGGTTAAGCCACGTTAATATTTTATATTTCTATTATTTTTTGTTTTATTATTTTTATAAAAAAATCAATATAAAATATTGACATGGTTTAACCATAACTATACAAATATGAAGAGATGAGAAAAGTGTGGAAATGGAAGGGCAAACAATCCACCTCCTATAAATATACAGCTTTGCACCGATACACATTTTTAGGATTTGACTTTTGTAAATAACACCCATGATCTTATGAAAAATCTCTACGCTTCTATTTTTTTGCATGAACCTTCTCTTTTACCTCTACTTAATCTAAATTAAGGTCTGGTATTACTGTGTTTTTAAAAGAATTATTTTTTTCTGTACTATGAAAATAAACAGCTGTAAAATAAATCAGTTAAGTGTTTAGTAAACTTTTTTTTTAAAAGTGCTTTTACAAAAAAATCAGTATTCAAGTGTTTGGTAACTTTTATATAAAACTGCTGTGTAGATGTTAAAAATGGTATAATATTAAATGTTATAATTTTTTATTTTTTTTCTTCTATAATTTATTTATTTATAATCTCTCCTACATTCACTCTCACTCCTCTCCCTCATTTTCTCCGCTGCTCATCCTCCCTCATCTCTACTTCACCGGATCTTCGAGTCAACGTCTCCGACCACACCTTCGAGGACGGACAAATTTGTTGAGGTACAAAATTAAATAAATAAATGGTTTGTTTATTGGGTTTTAAATTAGGGTTTTGTTATTGAATTTGATGAATTTCTTTGTGTCGTGCAAATAAGATTGGTTGGCATCTTATTAATTTATTGGGTGTTAATTTGATGAATTCCTTGCGGATGATAATCATCATTCCTGTTACCGGAGAAATCATCGGTCCTTTTATCACCCTAAGCATTTCCGTCAACTAAATTAATTTTTGGGTTTTTATTTTAAAGTTTATTTTACTATTTAATCATTGCATTTGATCGTGTAGGATCTGAAAGGAAGAGAGGGATAATCGTTGGTGCAGTGGTGGTCGGTGTCGAGCGAGAGTGGGAGGGACAACGACGGTCCTAGGGATTTGATGCGGGGGGAGAACGAGGGAATAGGAAAGAGATCATTCCAGTTGTTTTAGGGACAAGGATTGTCATTTTGCAAAACTAACGAGGGTGTTATTGGAATTTAGAAAGTTTTATTAACATTGCCCTGTAGCTCCACATGTTTTGAAAAAAAAACTGTTTTTTCAAAGCTTTGATTTGCTGCTTCAGGATTTTGGCTTTTTTTTCACCCTCAACGGTGAAAAAAACCTGATTTAAATGTGTTTATCAGGCATTAAAAAAATCTTAACTTTTTTTCATACCTACTTTTTTTTTTTTTTATAATTTCAGTTGTGCCAAACTGGTACTAAGAAGCACAAAAAAAAGCCACACACCCTACTATTCCACATGTTGACAGCCAACCACCACAGAATTCTAGGGTAAAAAACCAACCTCTCACCATGGCACCATATCCTAGCTCTCTCTCTCTCTCTCTCTCGCCAGTTCCCAACAACTTGCACGTACTTCTTCAACTTATTTGGAATTTTGGATGGTTGGTGAAGTTTGGCAATAGAAAATTTGGAGATGGGGTGGGCAAGTTAGGATGTTTGACGATAGACTTATGCACCAGAGACGGGTAAGATGGTGTTGACCGGCTACTTTCGTGACGAAGGTGATGGGGCTAAAGGGTTATCCAATTGGATGAGTTGAGGTGATGGGTTGTTACCAACGGCATGGGAGTTATCGGGCGTGCCCATGTCGATGACGGAGGTATTCAGAGATAGCTGGGCGTCGAGAGGCTTGTTTGCTGTTGACTTCTTTACGGGGTGGGGGTATCTTCAGAAAAAAAGAGGGACAAAGTTGGAATTTTCGAGGATTCTTTTGAACGTGGGGTGTTTTTATAAAATGTAGGAATAAAACGACCCATATTTCTTTGACATTTCTATTCATATTCCAATGATTGCTCCGGAATCAAAGATCCAATACGATAGTATATGAGATATGACAATTTTCTTGAGTTAGTTGCATGCACTTAATGCTAATCCAGATTTGATTATTGAAAATTGAAACAAACGGTTGAAATTGACAATTTTCAACAATTAAATATGTGTCGAGATTAAAGGGGGTGTATTCAATTGGGAATTTGAGAGATTTTAATGGATTTATAAATCAATGAATTTTTATGGAGTTTAACTTATTTGTAGAGATTCTATGTAAAATTTTGATTCAATTCCCTCGAAATCTCATGGGTGTGGATGCTTAAAATATACTACAAAATCTCTCCAATTCCCTCTAATTGCTCAACTTTTCTAAATTCTTTAAATTCTAATTCTAATTGAATACACCTAGAATGTTATAAACTTTTTTAAAATTCTAATTGAATACACTTGGATTTCTAAGTATTTTAATAAACTATCTTAAAATCCTGATTGAATATCCCTGAATTCATTAAAAGAATTAAAATCCCTCAAAATCCCAATTAAATACACCCCCTAAGTGTATATAGGTATTCCAAAAAAATTGTCTTATATGTTACATATTGTATTTGAAATTCTTCTAAACCATTTTATTATGAGCAAGAGTTAGAGAGTTTCAGGATTTTGGAGAGTAATGACCAAAGCATCAGCTATCATCAGATAGAGTGGTTTTCTACGAAGTTGTAGTTGTTTCCGTTTAGTTGAAGAATGTATTGTCTTCGACTCGCACATTATAAAGACTATATATATGAATTTATGGTTTGCTTTTTTATTTGTTTTTATTTTTTTTAAGGATCAACTGGTGGTTTCGTTACTGCAATTCACCCTTTCTGGAGCCAAAAATACTCACAGATTATAGAGGCATTTCAGCATTTCCCTGACCACTATCATGTGATTCACACTCCCCTAGAAAAGAACTCAGAACGTGTCATGTGAAATACGGGCTTGAAATTCGTCCTAACCATTAGATCACTCCATAGTGGTTTAATTTGTGGTTTGTTTGATACATACATATATATATATATATATATATATATTATATATAGTAAAAACCTCGACCAAATTGATTAATTATCAAGACCTTGGAGTCAAAACCTTTTGTAGCTGGCTTACAGAAACACCCGATCGAATAGAAATAAAATGAAATTTTAATTTCTCATGTCTAACCTACATCACCAATGACATAAGATAAAGGATCATATACACCCTCTTGCCATTTTCAAAACATTTGATCATAATAATCGTTCAACCCATGCGAAGTACTCATTATTTTTATAAAAAAACACATGCTGAAGGACTATCTGATTTGATCAACTACATAAGCCGTAGGACGCTGACGCTCGTACTTTTCCTCTATCCATGGGCACAATATCCAAATCTATGGACCTCTCCAGCGTCAAAGCAAGAATAATTGGAGGGATGACCAGAATTGATGTACCAACTGCAAACCAACCCATGAAATATTGGATTATCTTATCTTTGATGCACATGCTACAACTACGAAAAAAGTGGTAGGTTGAAGAAAAGAACATCCCAGCTAATTCATTTATAAACAAACTTGGTAATCTATCCAAAAAAGAAAATAACATACGGAATCGTTATTTCTTGTACTTGCTTTCACATACACTCCTTGTGATAAATTATAGGATGACTTTCTTAAACGGTGTTTGTCATCGGTGAATGAATCAAGTATGTAAATGACATTGTGGAAGTAACAGAGTAAAGAGATCACAAACGGTTATTCATACGGAGAATTCTCGAACACCAAAAACTTGAGAAAATTTCTCCATTTTTTATTTTATTTTTCGGACAAAAGGGACTTCATTAATGAAAGGGAGAATTACAAATTGTGATAGATGGACTTAAGTCCAAACCAAACACAAACCCAACATAAACAAAGCAAAACAGAAGAAAGTAGACAAACACAAGTAAATTGAGAGCAACATCCCAAGTCAACACAAGGCTGGAGGCCCATGTAAACTTAGGCTCGTAGGCAATAGTAAACAACAAGCGAAAAGGAGCCCTAAAGCAAAAGTAGCAAATGCATGCCTCCACAACCGCCACAACGTCCTCCGTGAAGGAAAACAAACCCCCAAACGGTAAAGAGCACCTGAAGAAAAAACTAGCTCTGAGAGTATTAAGCTGAATCAATCCACCAAGAAACACGACATCCACAGCCACACATGCAAGGAAAGTCACAAAACGCAACAGCAGGAGGGGGGGAGGGCAAAGGGGGTGTGCAAGACACCACTGTTCCATTTGAATCATTCCATACTTTGCCCAATTTTTTCGGCAAGCCGGATCGTCAGTGGGCTAAGAATGAAGGGTATTGAGACAAGATGGAGTCAACATTCTGAGACCTAATTCCTGATTATGTTGGAAAAGATGGGGAGGAAACGAGAGGAAGGACAAAAGGGTGCGGTGGGGAGGGGAAAAGGGGCAGGCGGTTAGAGGGAAGAAAACTAAGCCAAAAGCTCAGAGATCTGAGACATAGCTCAGAAGGAAGCATAGAAAATGAATAGGGAAGAAGAGAAGTAAAAAAAACAGAGAAAAAAAGGGGCTACCACCGACTCCAAAGCCTAAGCTATGGGAGGTTTTGGTTTTTGGGGTTTTTGGCTTTTTTTATTCTCGATTTTTTATTGAATAAGTGAAGAAAATAAACTTACTTAGGAAACATGTGATATTGAAAAAGGCCAGAATAAACTCTTGCACAACCTTTTGTCTTATTAAATGTACATGCTATTGCAGACACAATGTAGGGTTGGGATGATTTTAGTCATCAAATAAAGGTCTGGTGGTCAAAGACGCCGGTTGCCGGAGAAACTAAGGTCTCTGATTGCGTAACTGCATCATGCGCCAAATGCACGTAGGCGAATATGCTTTGTGAACATGCTCCAAACATGCAACGGATAACTTTTTGTGAGCATGCTCCAAACAACCGTGCATACCTCCTCCTCTGAGTCTTATGTTACGTAGGTGCTTCCATTTATGGCACACACATCAAAACTAGACCTTCCTCCGAGGCAGATATGATCTGTACAGGTGCTGATATTGGCACAATCGCTTCAGGAATGTGTACGAGTTTAGTCCAAGATTCCTTGAATCCGTATTCCCTCATCACGCAAATTGTCACTGCAAAATCCCCATCCTTAATTGTTGCTGTTGCTGTTGCTGCAGAAGGATAGAGAGAGACGGTTTGCAAGTGTCCCGATATAGGCCAATGCTCCTTTTTGGCTCGCCATGCAATCGGGCAGTTGAAGCCTATTGTCCTCATCAATTTTCTCATTGGCTAAATTTAAGAATCTTGTTCTTGAAGGAACTAGCCAATGCAAAGCTCTGTTGAAGAAGCACCTGTGCACCCGTAGGTACGTGTCAGACCGATTAAGATTATTGAATTCACGAGTGCTCCATGAACCGGTAATCTTCAGATATAGTCTTCGGATATAAAATCATAACTGAATCCAGAAAAAATGCTGTCGCTAAACCAATCAATTTCCGGTAAGACGTTGGTAACTCCAGTAAAAGGGTTCCATAACGTGTCCGTTACGGTTGGCATCGGTATCATACAGACATATTAAGCCATTGCAAGAACCCACAATGTGCCATTCTGGGCACCACTCAATTGGTAACTCATGATTGCAATGCCTGAATCCCTCTCCCTCTCTTCTTGCATTCAGTAACGCTTCGCAGTCTATGGATGGGAGAGGACTCTTTGAAAACAGGAGTCTCTTCTTATTGTTGCTGGCTGCGTTCCGGAGACCGTCCGCCATGTTAGTTTTCTTTGATGAAAGCGTTTGGTGCGAATTTCAATTTCGAGAGGCAGAGATAACACTTCCTAGAGATGAATTGATGAAGATTGGACCTTTTTTCTTTACAAACGATAGCGTTAGTAGGTTAAATTGTTAGTTGTTAAGAGAGTATTTCGAAGCTCCATCTCTATCGATCATACTCCTTTGTTAAATTAATAAAAGAAACGTCATTTTAGTATCTCGCATGCTTGAAATTTAAGTTTTTCACAATAATAATGTCACGATCAATCGATTACACGCGATAAATCATAATCTAATCTTTAATGCATTGTCACTCTAAAATTCATGTGCGTATATTTATATTTACAAGCCGGGTTGCCCAGATCCGAAAGCCCAATATAGAAATGGGTAATGTTAAAGAGACTAAATTTGTAGATAACGTTTTGGAAACTAAAGGACATAAAAGTTTGGTTGGTTTATTACTTAAACGTTGATGAACATGCTTATTTCTATTGGTGACACATAATTTCATTTGTAAATTTAGTCTCCAAATTTAATCTCACTAACATTACCCATACAGAAACACACCGCCAAGATCCAAAGCCCAGAAACGGACCCAAAACATGCCCAAAAAGCTCAACCTATAAAATCCAGACCCAATGGCCAAACTTACTCTTGCGCCTAGCCCTTCTAACATTTCCAGTTTTCTTTTTAGATTAAATTATTATTATTTTCTTCAAAATTTAGGTCTTCTTCTTCCTGTAATTTCCCCCAAATTTTAGATTTTGATTCAGTCAGAGCCATTGTTGTTTCGAGGGTTAGGAGGTGTGGATTCTTCCTTTCAATTTCCCACCTGTTTCAAAATACCGCCAATTTCTCGCTCCATCATCCTGTACAATTTTCCCAAGTTAACATCTTTTTTATTCCGGTTTCAATCTGTATACAGAAATTGAATACTTTTTGGGTTAGGGTTCTTTTGGATTTTGAAGTTTGGGATACGGATCAAGAAAAATTAAAAAATATTTACTTCTGGGATATTTTTTTTGTTTATTTTTATTTAAATTTAGCTTGTGAGTGATGGATAATAAGAAGAAGGTGGCGGTTCCGTTGGTCTGCCACGGCCATTCGCGTCCGGTGGTGGATCTGTTTTACAGTCCGGTTACTCCTGATGGGTTCTTTCTCATCAGTGCCAGTAAGGGTATGTATCGATAACGATTGATTTTTGATATGGGGTTTGAATGATTGCTTCATCACTGTGATTTGCTGTATATCTATCTGTTTGAATGTGCAAGTTAATTGCTTTATATATGATTTGTTGAACCAGCATTGGGTTCTTATTTTCGGTGTTACTGTTTAGCTGCAAATTACATTAATTTCTGTGTTTTTGTTGAACCTCGATACTTTATATGGTTAATTGTCATTGCTGTGAAATCTGGTGAGTCGTGTTATTAGGATATATGGCACAGCTGAAACAAATATTTCCTGCTTTAGAATGTGACATGTTAACGTTCACGAGTGCTCTTAGATACTGTGGTATTCTTTTGAAGTTGATTTGATGGGAAATTATGTCTGAGGTTTTACTTGTGTTGATTAGATTCGAGTCCTATGCTGAGAAATGGAGAGACTGGAGATTGGGTTGGAACATTTGAAGGGCATAAAGGCGCAGTGTGGAGTTGCTGCTTGGATACTAACGCCCTACGTGCTGCAACTGCTTCCGCAGATTTCTCTGCGTATGTCTTCAATCCTTATGGTTCTGTACTTTTCCATTCCTAGATGGACAATCAGTCGCTTTTCTTGTTTCTTGTAATGAGTTTAATGTACTGTTTTGATTAAAGTTTCGCTTGGAAATTTTTATGCTTTTACTTTAAAATTTTGAATATACTTTATTATATAATCAAGTGTCAAGGATTTCTGTAGTGTCTGCTCACTTTCTTTTAGTTCTTCTTTATATTTCTTTCATTCTTCACTCATGTATTCTTCTCATCGTTGCTTATGTGAAGTCTGTTTTCCAAGTTTTAAGTGGCTTTTGCGCTTGCTACATTCCTTACCTTATCATCGTACATTCCTTACCTTGTTTTCATAAATAATAATTGGCAGTGACACCTTCCACAATTAAGTAGGTTAATAATGTCTCTTTATTGTGTTTCTCTCCAGAGCAGTCATTCTCCTGTCATTGCTTGTTTAGTCAATTAAGTTGTAGTTAATTTGATCAAAAGCTGATTTATTTTGTGCATCAAATTTATATGCAGGAAAGTTTGGGATGCATTAACAGGACATGTTCTACACTCATTTGAACACAAGCACATTGTTCGAGCCTGTGCTTTCGCAGAGGTATTTCTTTTGTCATCACCATATGAAAAGTTTGAAATTCTGTCTAGAAGCTTATCTGCTGTCGAAGTTTCATGCTGAAAGGTAAATGTGATATATGAAATGTAATGGATATATTTCAATATCCAATGATACTTGCAATTGATAATATACATATTGTCTTCACTCGAAGTAGCTATCTGCTTGACTCTTAGTGTTTTCTCAGTTGGAGTTAGTGTTATCCTGGGGTAAGAGGGGATTTTAAAATAATGCTAGACTTTTTTATGTTTCACCTACCAAGCGTGGTTGTAACTTGTAAGGTATCACAATCTTAGTTTTTATTATTGTATTTGGCCTCGAAAATAGTTAGTATTGGTTCAGATTCAATAAATTCTGAGATTTCATGCCCGAAAGGAAACTGGTTTAATGGGTGCTGTAACATTAAATATGTGAACCCCTTACCATTTATGTGCTTTTTTAATCTCATTTAGTTCTTATTAATATGAGTATCAATTGACCAAAGATATTAATATGGTATCAGGATACACACCTTTTGCTTACTGGAGGAGTAGAGAAAGTTATTCGTATATATGATTTGAATCGTCCAGATGCCCCTCCAAGAGAAGTGGATAAATCCCCTGGTTCAGTCAGAACTGCTGCATGGCTCCACAGTGACCAGACCATACTAAGTTCTTGTACTGATATGGGTGGTGTCAGGTATGCATGCCTGTTAAACCATCTTATGTTAAAGTTACATTTGATATAGTTTGTAGTCTCTTACACTGCAAACATACATTTCTTTAGAAGAATAAGGTTTACTTTATTCTTTACTAAACTTGGTAGTGACTGGTGAATTTACAGATTATGGGATGTAAGAACCGGTAAAATCGTCCAAACTCTTGAGACCAAATCATCTGTGACCAGTTCTGAAGTGAGTCAAGATGGTCGTTATATCACTACTGCTGATGGGTCTACTGTGAAGTTTTGGGATGCAAATTAGTAAGTTACAGTTTTATTTTTCTGTATTTTGGCAGAGTTTCTACTTGGATGACTTACGATAATCTACTTGTTTTCCAGCTTTGGGTTGGTGAAGAGCTACAACATGCCGTGTACAGTAGAATNGCTCTTC